TCAGCGTTTAAGTGCAGGCCCGATGCAGGGCCTCCTGTTTGCTATGCCTGACCTAACTCAAGATTTGTCTTAGCAAAGAGAAGCTGTAATACTGTCATACAGTGCTCATTTGCTCTGTCTCCAAAGCATTAGGTAGCATCTGTGAGTGCAGAATGTTAGTACTCCTGTTACTGGGATTCTGGGACACTGCTCAGAGATGGCTTGAGTTAAGGTTTGGTCTACACCTATAACTTAGGTCGACCTAGCTACATTGTTCAGGGGTGTGAAAAAAATCACACACACCCAAGACACATAATTAAGATGACTTAAGCTCTGGTATAGACACTGCTAGATTTACAGAAGAATTCTTCCATTGATCTAGCTACCACCTCTTGGGGGGTGGATTAACTAGAATCATGGAAAAACCCCTTCTGTAGCAAGTGTCTCCACTACGGTGCTGCTGCACCAGTGCAGCATCTGTACTGTAGACATACCCTAAATTAGGCTGCATTATAGGGGACGGAGAATACCTTAACTTTATACTTCCTGATTTTCAGAGGTTTAAATTTAGCCAATTTCCACATTCGGGAAGGACATGAGGCACCTTTTATATTTCCTTGGGTTTTGTTTTTTAATAATATCTCTGTTCCCGACCCCCTCCCCATGTACAACAGCCCACCTCTCCCCATCCACTGCCTCTGGCTCCTTGGTAACTATTACTCCATTGACAGAATGCACTGGCTGCCTGTCAGTCCCTTTATTGCCCCTGCATTGTCTCCCGTCTCTGTCTATCCAGCACTGCCTGGTTCTCCCTGCTCAGCCCTTCTCCTCACAGAGAGGCAGGTGTTAGCAGGGGACCCACAGGCCAAGGAGAGGAGATGCAGGAACAGTGTAGTGGCTAGCATGTAGTATGTGGGGACACTTTTTGAAGCGGGGGGAAGACAGAAAGAGATCTGGATGTGGGAATTTGTGAGGGACAAAGATGAAACCTCCCCAGCACAGCTCTGATTCCTTCTTTTTCACACATTCTTTCAAGTACTATTCCAACACACACAACTCCCCCCCGCACACACACACAATCCCTCATTGTTCTGATCTTCCATATTCCTTCCAAATTGTTCTGACTCCCCCCACCACTGCTCCAACATTCCCATCATCACAACTACAAGCTCTGATGACCCCCACACCCTGCTGCTCTGAACCCTCTCCCTCAAACACACAACTTTCAGCTCCCCAGCACCAGCTCCACCATCTTCCTTGTCACTCCATGCCCCTGTGTAAGCATGGAGGAGTTGCAGAAGGTGGTGTGGCTGTGAGGAGTAAGAGTATAATCTAGGGGCAGGAAAACGAAGATGCAGAGTCCTCATGCCAAATCTGGGACAAGGGTATCAAGCACAGGCTCGGCACATCCGTCTGCAGCACAGAAGCAACAGAGACATTGGAAGTGGCCCATTCATCTCAGTGAGTTGTCCTCAGATGACTGGGAACACCCCATGGAGGTGAGAATACAGCTTGAAACAATAGCTCAGAGAAGTGAGAATTATCCCATTCATCTCAGTGGATGTTCTTATCCCCTCTCCCTTGTACATGTAGTATCCAGGCTCTCACACAGGGGGCAGGAAGAGCGCTTAAGAGCTTGCCAAGAGAGGCAGGGCTCTGGATAAATTGACTCTCACATAAGGCAGGGTCCCCCAATCCCAGATCCACACACAGGGAGGCAAGGACCCCCCTCCCCAGATCCCAGCTTACCTTGGGGCAGGGAGATAGGCTCAGACCTCCCCAGGAAGCAGGACCTTCCTGAGATCCTTACTCACGCAAATGGGAGGGCCTACCCTCCCGAGGGCTGGGGGTCCCTGCTGCCCCATCCCCCACTTCTGTTTGAGGCACATCCCTCTCCAGCCCCCTGCCACAGAGAGATAGGGCTTTGAATCTCCCACCAAGATTCAAACCAGCCTGGGGGGCAGGGTAGCTTCAAACGGGATGGGGAAAATGTGGGGCTGACAGTCCCCTGACTTCTGCAGTGACACACCCCCATGTTGCCCCTCTCTCAGCCCCCCCACTCCCATTTATCCTCCTCCCCTTGCCACAGCTCCAAATGTCCCATCTTCATCCCCTAGTTCCCCCCATCCTCTCCTTGCACACACAATCCCCACACCCCTTGCACTGCTCTAACCCCCCCGCAACATTAATCTGACCCCCCCTTCCATATTCCCTAGTAGCCCATGCTGGAGGGGCTGTGTTTCAGGAACCCCTTGACCAAATGACGCAGCAACTAGCTTTCCTTTGATCTCATGCAGTCCCATTGTTCAGGAAACAAGATCACATCCTCAATGCTTTCTAGAGTCTATCTTCCCTCTATTTAATGCTAATTTCCTTGCCAAATGAGATATCAGGGCACTTTAAAAGATCACTCAAACCAGAATCTTTGGTCTCAAGACAAAATGTGCAAAAAGCTGCCCCTGCAGAATGCAGACAGAGAGCAAAGAATGTGTGTAAGACACACTCTGAAAACTGCCCAGGGTAGAATTCATACTCATGGTATGGGTACAGCTCAGGTTCAGTGACCATAGCATGTCACCCAGTTACTTTTACAACAGACTACCTGGAAACCCTTTTTCTTCAACAGTCCCCTAATCTTGCTAAACATACTCATTTCACTCTTTTAGGCATGTGCTGACCTGGGGTATCTAACTTAACCCTGAATAACTGTTTCAATATTTCTAAGGGATAGTGGGAGCCATGCACAAGCTGATATATATCCTGAGCAACTGAGATCAGTTTGGAGGAGATTAGAGCCATAGTGTGCACCAAAGGTGTGCACGCACACACAAAAAAAATGTTTGAACGAGATGATTTTGTAAAATGCTATTTTGGGGGGTGGTATCTTGGAAACCCCTTGCTTGAATTACCTCAAAATTACCACTAACACTAACAAACACACTCCTGAGGCAGAACAAATTTAAAGACAATTCAAGTCAGCATATGGCTTTTAGAACATTTAGGATAGTCCGTCTAAGTAGAAAGCTATTGCTCTGCTATAATATTAAAAAAGTGGATTTAAAAAACACATTCCCCAAAGTGAATGCACCACAAATATATCCTCAAAAGCTTTGTCATGTTTTTTAAACCGTAGCATTTGAGTTTGTAACATAACTGAAAGGCACTTTGGAGAAAAGATAGTCTTGTGGTTATGGCACAGAGGTCAATTTCTATTCTTGCCTCTACAACAGACATCTGGTATGATCTTGGCATTCAAGTCACTTAAGCTCACTTTACTTCTTTCCACATGTGTAAAAATGAGGACAGCATTTCTTTGCTTCTTCACAGAGATAGAGTATCATTAAATAAAACACTAATGAAAAGATGCAGTTAAAAGCAAGATGGAAACTCTCCAATAAAAGTTAAAACAACTCCCTGCCGCCTCTCTCTTTCTCTCACACAGCATTCCACACTAAATGGTTGCTTTGTCTCGGAGCAGATAAGCAGCCGGCTGTCAGAAACGGAGCTTTCAAACGGCGTATCTGCATTCCTACAGCGAGTTCAAAACAATGAGAAGAGTGGCCATTTGACTTAAGGGGATTATGGGACGTTTCCGGAGGCTGATCAGAGTGCAGTAATGTAACACCTTGTCCACACTGGCGCCGCAGCACTCCAGCGGAGGGCGCAGCAAACGTTATTCCACTCGCCGAGGTAGAGTATCAGCAGCGCTGTAGCCGTGGAGTCAGAGCGCTCTACGTGCCTTGCCAGTGTGGACAGGGAGTGAGCTAGTGTTCCTGGGGCTCCTTTATTGCGCTGTAACTCACAAGCGTAGCCAAGCCTTTAGTCTTGAGGAAAGAAGACCGGAGGCAGGAGACGGGGGGAGACACACACCACATGATAATAATTGTCAAATATGTTAAGAGCTGTTATGAAGAGGATAGTGATCAATTGTTCCCCATGTCCACTGATGGTAAGACAAGCAGCAATGCACTTCATCTCCAGCAAGGAAGATTTAGAAAAAATCTTTCCAACTGTAAGGATAGTTAAATACTGGAATAGGGAGGTTATGGATAGAGCCCTGCACGGATACAAAATTTGTATCCGCATCCAATCTGCAAAAATGGTCCATGGATATAAAGTGGATAACCACAGACTTGCAGGGTTCTAGTTTTGGAATTGCCCGCGCTGAAGGTTTTTCAGAACAGATTAAGCAAACATCTGTCACTGATGGTCTAGGTATCCATGATCCTGTTTCAACATGAGGGGATAGACTAGACTGACCTCTTGAGGACCCTTCCAGGCCTACATTTCTATGAAAGACTTTTAAACCCTTAAGAACACTAAGTACAGCAGCATATATAAGTTAAGATAAAAAATGTGAAAATTAGGTGAAGAGCAGGATGAAAGCACAGAAATCAAGGAGACAGAAGGCAAAATAAGAGAAAGTGTTGTAATTAATGACTTTAGCAAAACAAATCCTCTCAGTCTTCCTTCACAACATTTTTAGTTTTTTTTCGAAAGCACGGTCTTTGAAACAGAGAAGGGAGCATAAAAAAGTAACCTTGACAGACAAATCAAAGCCCTCAAATTATACCTTATTTACACAGTGCATACAGAATATTAGGTGCTTTACAGATAATTTCTTCATGTTTCACTTCACCATGTTTCCAGTCAGACACTTCATATCATTAAAAAAAGTTTCAGTTTAAGAACTTCCATAAAGCCAAATATACACTCCCTTCTATTCCCATCCCACATCAAGATCCTCAATTGGCATAGCTGTGTTTATGTCCCCTCCAGCAGATGATTTTTTTAATCAATAAAAACAATGTTCTAATGCAAGAGATTCTGTTTTTTGCAAATGTGAATGCACTGATGTGTGCATTAATAATCTTAAAAATTGGGACAATTTATTGAGTAAATAAGAAAACACCTTTGAAATATTTCTAACACTTCTATATAGCTTGATCTGTTAGGGCAATCACAAGTAAATTCACATTTTTCAGCTATTAATCCACAAACAAACAAAACATATCACTTACTTAACTAATGCAGCTGCTTCAGGAAGCACTTCTGCAAATGTATCCCGAAATACAATTGCGTTTTTTCTTTTACAGTTCTGTATGACATCATTGGCCAGGTAAAATAGATTCAATCGATGAGGAAAAGCAGCTAAAGACAAAATAAAAAAAATTCAGTTTTACTGCAAAGCAAAGAGTACCATTAGCATTTCTGATGAAGTGCTATAAATGTGTGATGATTTTTTTCAGCAGTATTTCTATTAATGGTGCAACGGTAACAAGACAGGACTAGGAGTTAAAACAGGGGACTGGGAGTCAGGATACCCAAATTCTATGCATCGCTCTGACAAAGATTTGCTGTGTGATTTTGGGAATCACTTCACTGCCTCCATTTCCTCATCTGAAAATTAGGTACAATACTAATTTAGCTCAGGTATGCTGTGAAACTTCATTTTGGGAACTGGTTCAAAATCCTTGCATGAAAGGTGCAACTAAGTGAAAGCATTCTCCCTACAAGTACAAAGTCTCTAGTCTAAAGTTGGCTATATACGGAACCTAAATAAACAGCGAAGGGTCACTGACTTCTTCTAACTTTTGTAATTTTTACTCAGATCATGGGACCATATGACCAAAAGACTACTGATATCAAAGGGTGGTAAAAGGTCAAAATAAATACTATATGGTGATCTTAGATGGAGAAAAGGCCAGTTTGGCCCAGAAAATCTGCATAGTATGCAGCCTTTACAGTTTTTGAAGAAGCACTGTAGTTTGCAGTGTTTTTGGCTGCCCTGTTATGAAAAATATTTTACAGAAATTTCATTAATTAAGAAGCCTGCTATATCTAAAAAATAATCACTCATATAGGGTCTCTTTGGCTGGGCAGCTAGCCTATAGCCACACTGAGTGCAGTGACTGGAACAACAATATTACCAAAGAAAGTAACAAATAATTGACAGATTTTAACCTGAAGAGTAATTGGATTACACTGGCATGTGGGAAGCAGTTACTAAATAGGAGCATTGTCGATTTGGAAAGCTTGTTTATCTGAAAGTTTTGCACCCAAAATAGCTACAAACACCACCTACAATTAGTTAATAGTTAACAAAATTTAGTTTTTCCTCATTTTTCAATTTGCTCACTTTGTGCTTAAGAGTGCTTCGTGTATAATCAGTTTACTTGCTTTCCCTTGTATAGCAGGTTCTCCCTTGAAGAAAAGATCCTTATAACCAACAACAGAAAGCAGTGAAAAGTCATAAAAATATTAAAGGGTTTTTTCAGTTTTCAGTATATATTCGAAGAGGGCTTTAACAGATATGGGATTTTAAAATGGAATTTTTGAATTGATTCAAGCTGACACACTACAGTACCAATTATTAGTACAGAGAAGTATAACCTAATCTAATTTTGAGCTTTATACTGCAGCCCATCACCACAGAATGTGAGAACGTACCACATATTTAATGCCAGAGTTATTGCGTGAGATCCACATTTACCATCATCTACCGCCCTAACCCCACTCACTTATTCAACCTCTTTCTTTTCCAGAGGCTTCCAGAATCTCCCCACCTTCCTTTCCCATTCACTCCCTTTGCAAAAGTCAGACAACAAAGCACTTCTCTGGTTGTGGAGGGATGGATATGGCACCCTCTGGAAACTATTTATACTGCACCTTCATTCAACTCAGGGTAGTTACAATGAAGTGAGCTGTAGCTCAAGAAAGCTTATGCTCAAATAAATTTGTTATTCTCTAAGGTGCCACAAGTACAGTACTCCTTTTCTTTTTGTGGATACAGACTAACACAGCTGCTACTCTGCAACCTAGCAAAGACAAGCTCAGCCTTATCAAAGAAGTAAAGTGTACTGCTTCCCTGCTCCTCCTCACAAAGAGCAAGCTGATAAGACCCAAGCAGGCCAGTCCTCTGCTGCTTTCCTTCTGTGTGCCTAGTCCATTTACTACCTCCTCACTTTCCTCCCTCTTCCCCAAAGAATATATACGCATTGCTGCTTGTGCACGAAGCACTTTCCCAGCAACAGAACTGCAGTGATACACAGGCCTCGATCCTGCTGCTCCTCTTGGGCCATGGGAAAAGCATGGTGTTGAGACAGAACAGGTGTAAATCTTCTGCTACTTATGAAAAGTTGATGAAAGGCAAAATGACTGTGCCTTTGCTGTATCTATATAAAGCTCTTTCCCTACAGTCCGGCCAAGCAATACAGTTCCAACTAGGTCTGCCCTAATTTCACTATGCTCCTACCAGCACCACTGAGGGAAGGACCGTTCATCAGAGCAGTAGCACAGGTGCTACCCTCTCCTGCAGGAAAAACAAACATTTTCCAGAGGGAAGTGGCATATACCCCATTAAAAGCCACTGAACTACCACGACAGCAGTCTCAAGAAACCTTTCCTCACATTGTTGATGCTTTTCCCACAAGGTATCATATATATGGTTATATATAACGGCACTCTGTTAACATGCAAACAGAATGTTGTGTTTTTTTAAATTCCACAGTTGTAAACTTCTTTCAGACTATTGTTCTGAGCATGATTTTTCATATAACCATAACTCCACTAAACCCATTTTAGCAAAATTACTGCTACTGCAAACGTGAACTAAATTCAGGAGGCACATTAAAAGAGCTGCATAATGACATTTCTACAATGCATTTCTTTAGCAGAGGCAGAACAGTTCATATAGTGTTCAGTTAAAACATTTCTATCATCATAACGGGGAAAGCTATGAGAAGGAAAAATGTTGCCCATAAAATTTTGTAACTTCAGTTATAAAGCATATGCAAAGAGGCCTATCCTGTATTGTGCTTTAACCAAAGAAGAGCCCTAGATTTCTCACATCAACACTTAGATATTATGGTTATTAGCAATACAGAAAATACTAAGATAAATCTCCTGATACATGAAATGTCTCTTCTGCCCCGCACTCCCCTGGCTGTTGTGTTGTTCCCTGCTGTGTCACTCTTTTTGGGCTATGCAAGAAGTGCTAGATGCAGCTTATTTTATTTTGCTGCACTGCAACTGGCCTGAACAAGTCATGACCCAGTAGCTAAATATTTTAACTTTCAAAAGTAAGAGTGTTAGGAGAAATATATAGATTTTCATTTGATGGCATTGTTCGAGGAGATATAACTCACTGTTTACTGCATTGCTCTCATTCCATACTATGTAAACAGTCAAATAATAACAACAGAAGTTTATGGGAAGCAGCTCAGGACACCTCCTGCTTGAACAGATGACCAAAGAGAGTCCCTTGGAGCCATGTCATCTATTTTCTGATTTTGCTAGCTGTAACAGCAGAACCTCAGAATTACAAATACCTCAGCAATCGAGGCTGTTCGCCACTCTGAAATGTTCGTAATTCTGAACATTGTTGTTTTCAAAAGTTTACAACTGAACATTGACTTAATACAGCTTTGAAACTTTACTATGCAGAAGAAAAATACTGTTTCCCTTTATTTTTTAGTAGACTATGTTTAACACAGTATTGTACTGTATTTGCTTTTTTGTGTGTCTCTGCTGCTGCCTGATTGCGTATTTCCGGTTCCAAATGAGGTGTGTGGTTGACTGATCAGTTCGTAACTCGGATGTTCATAACTCGGAGGTTCTACTGTACCTCTAATCTACCTATGGTGAATTCAGAGGTATTCACTTACAGTGTCTCTTTAACATGTTGGACAACATGATCTAGACCAGGCAACAGGCCTCTATGGATATGACTACTCTGTAATAGAAATACTTGCCACTCGCCCATGTCAGCTGGCTTGGGCTCCGGGACTATAAAATTGTTGTGTAGATGCTCAGGCTGGAGCCTGAGCTCTTGTACGCCATGAGGGGGGAGGGTCCCTGAGACTGAACATCTCCACCTCAATTTTACAACCCCGCAGCCCAAGTCAGCTGACATGAGTCAGCTGTGGCTGTTAAACTGCAGTGTAGATATACCCTATAGAGCCTAGGGCCTTGTCTACATGGGGAAGTTTTATCAGTCAACACTATACTGGCATAAACCCCCCCCCCACACACACACACACAAGGACACGTTTATTCAGGCAAAAGTCTGGCCTTTTTCATTTTAAATTACACTCCTTCCCAAACAAGCACCTAAATGAAAATGGCACTCTTGTACTAGAAAAAATTATGCATCCGATGAAGTGAGCTGTAGCTCACGAAAGCTTATGCTCAAATAAATTTGTTACTCTAAGGTGCCACAAGTACTCCTTTTCTTTTTAGAGAGAATATGTTGCAGCCAGTTGAGAAATGCAATCACGCACATGTTGCAAATTTAAACACGCAGTGGCCAAGTTTCTTATATATTTGCTGCCTCTCATTTATTGAAACACCACTGGCCACACCCTATATTTCTCCCAAGGAATGAAGTTAAGGATGCTTAATGCAAACACTTGTGGGATGTCACTGAACCTCTGGAAAAGAGATGTAGTCAAATGAAACAATTACCTCTCTGCTTGCCTGCATGGAAATATCTAGAGAGGGGATCTACCTATTGCTATCAAGGGATATGCTGTGTTTGGTGACAAGATGATGGCGTCAGTGAAGGGAAAATATAGTGAGAAGTCTTATGATTTGTCAAAATGAGCTCCTCCCCCGGTTAAAGACAGTTTGTACAAAGTCAGAAAAAAATTCAATTAATTTCACAAGTCTGTGTCTGATGACTGGCAAGCTGCAGCACATGGCAACATCACAGTTGCTCTACTAGAATCAGAGTGTAAGGTGAGAAGGGACCACCAGATCATCCAGACTTCCTGAATATCACTTGCCACTGACCACCACCCCCACATACCAAGCCAAGACCTAGAATTAGACCAAAACAGAACTGCCCTTAGGAGACTAAGCTATTGTGTGCCACAGGCTGAGAGCAAAAGGGACTGAGGTGAACCAATGCCCGAGGACCCTGCAATGGCAGGAGTTGATTAATAGAGATATAGACAGATGATCTTGAAGAATGATGTGTGCCCCATGATGCACAGGACGAGGAAAAAACCCAAGGTCACTGCCAATCTGAGTTGAGGGAAAATTCCTTTCCAACCTTGGTTTAGAAGAGTAAGTTATAGGTGCGCAAAGTGTTAGCTATAATCTCTAACATCCTATTATGGCATGGGCCCTGACTAACTAGCAGACTATGT